TTGCATATCTTGTCTGTGACGATCTATATGACGCTGACTGTACATAAAATATCAAGTGTAGTCATTGATACTTTATTTGATATGTAGTGAGATAGAATAATAGTCAAACAACAAAAAATACAAAATATAGTACTATTGTACTAAATAACACAATGTAATTACCACATGGTTCTTGGAAATCTTCTCAGAAGAAAACATCAGCTTTTTGCTCAGCATTATGCTTCGCGATACTTTGTACGTTCCCAATTTAAGAAGTAATTTAAATTCAGTTGCCAAAATTACTGACAATGGTCATAATGTTCTTTTTAAACGTGACGTTGCTTATGTCACTGATAACAAGGGAATTGTCAAAATGACAGCCGATCGTGTGGGTAACTGAGTGAGAGAAGTAAAGAATAGAATGAACGACGCATTAGTTGCTATGAATGTGGATATACGTTTGTGGCATGAGCGTATGGGTCATTTGATTCGAAGTTAAGACAGAGGATATGAATGTATTATATGACTGTGAAATATGTACGAAGGGAAAAATGACTACACTTCCGTTCTTGAAGACGAGAGGCCCTTGAACACCAAATTAATGATCTCTCGAATCTCTAGGTGGAGCAAAATACTTTGTGACAAAAAACAACAGACATTCGTGATCACTCCAATTATTAGATGACCTAGCACGGTCTACTTCTTCACACCATGTCTCTATGTCCTTAACACTCGGATCAAAATTAGAAATATAATAAGACTGGTTAGATCTCACCGGTATATTTATGGATCGTATCGCATCGATGATGCGATCGGCGGCGCTGGCCTGGACTGACGTAGCGCTCGCGGGACGCTCCGGTGAGGACGGAGTCGTTGAAGCCAACCGCCCTGCGCACCCTTGAAGCGAGCTCGCAGTCACAGCTTCGCTCAACTGCGACGGCGGCGGCATCGACACGGCAGGCTCAACGGCAGGAACGGGCTCGGTGCTGATGGTTGTCACAGGCACCGCGGACCTGGCCACTTCCACTGCGGCGCGGCCACTTAGCTCCTTCCGATGAGATGAAGACACTACCTGTTGTTCCTCTAATGACACCAAGCTATTCAAAATTTGTTGCATTGTTTCGGTTAAAATATTGCTAGAAGGGCTACGCCGTCTGTAGCGCGAATCATGTTGGCTAGAATGCGATCTGCGATTTCGCGACAGACTTCTATTCTGCCGCCTCTTATTAGGCATGTTTTCTTTTTTTTTTTAGCAAGTATTTAAAATTAGACGTAATTCGAAGCAACGCATTCAAGTTACGGTAAATAATTGATCAGCAGGGTAAGCACGGCAGGGCCGCGGACGAGAGCGAAAGCGTGCCCGTGGCCCCGTCCCGATGCGTCAGAGGGCAGTCAGGTTTTAGTGGGTATTCTGGTCACCTTCTGTGGCCGGCGAGTCCCACACTCCCTACGCCATTGCATCGCCCGGCGTAGGCGTGCGTAAATGCATTTCCTGACTATAAAAAAAAAGGGTAAGCACGGCAAAATATTAAAGTTGAGCCATTTAAAAATTTTCACAACAAACTAACAAATTCAACTTCTATTTGTTATTTTAAAACGGAGAATAAAATAATTGGAACGTACTCACCAAAGTTGACATTATAAAACTTGATCACACCGTCACATCACGTCTTACTTACGTATATTATACCAAACACCGAAAACAAAGTGCTAATTTGTCCTTTTAAACAAGGGTAGTTACAATTTCCAAAAATATATTTCTGATCGTATGACTAGCCAATTAAAGAAATAACAATGGAAACACATCGTATCAGGATGTACAAACAAGGACGTGGGAGTTTCACTATCCCACTTCTGATCTTAAGGATCAGAAGCAGGGAAAATTAAAAAAACAATCTCTTATACACTACTACAGTACTTTTTTGAATTAATAAGAAAACTAACAGAATTGAATAAATGTAATTAACACTAAAATTATTTAAAAATACAACACTAACTTAATCAACTATCAGAGTTAAAATGATTAATTATTTTGGCTAGTCAAACGGGCAGAGCTTCCGCTGGCTTCAGTGTTCGGTGGCGAGTGTGGCCCGAAAATGAGGGTGCGGGATCTTATATTAGCATCACCCTACCATGTCGGAGGAAGCCATTGTGATTATATTTAAAGTAGGAAGTTACTAAGTAGCCATTGTCAACTGAATTACTGTTTAACGCATAGTGTGCAATGTTTAATGTTTATTGATATTGTAAAAGCTTCTAATAACTTTTAATTTGATTTTACTTTTTAAGTTACGTTTTTCCTAGACTAAATAACATTATTATCGTAATTTAAGTAACAACCAATCAGAGCAGAGCACCTAGCCTGAGAGGGGTCGAGGCACCAGCTTTATAAAAGGCGTTTTGACAGTTGTTACGAATATAGTCGTGAAGTGAAGACGGATCGAGTTGCCTGCACTTTGTCGTCGAGAAAAGTGTTTCTCCGACTGTTTCTGCGGCAGTTGAGTTTACTACGGAAAGTGACACCTCCGCCGTCTGTCGGCGTTCGATGGGTCAACACCTTACCAGCCGAGGCACGGCAGCAGAACTCCTGTGGCTGCCGACTGGAACGGACATTGAACCATCGCGCGTTATTTGAAGATTGAAAAGTGGACGATGAACCCTTCTGCAATCGGCAACCCACCTAATTTTTTTTTTCAGAGGGGAATGCTTTATGTGGGTTGCTCCTCCATAGCGGAGGCATACCCACTGAACCCCTCTGTTCCTATAGTATTAATTATTTAATTGAATTTATTTTAAATTGTTTTTAACTTGTATAGAGATTTCACTTTTTAACCTTTTAATTTTACATGTGTTAATTGTTTTAATGTTTTTTAACCTAGATGTAAGAAAAGAATGTGATATAATTTTAAGACTATGTAATTGATTTTTAAAAACTTAAAATAAAGAAATAAAGATATTCCCGCACCCCAAGTCCCCGACCCGTTCCC